AACTTACCAAGCAAAATAAATTATGAATGTTTGTCATGCTTCTAATCTTTAAATTCTCTAACAAAAGTGGGGATGCCGAAGTTCACATTGTGAAGGAAATTTGCAAAATTATCATTGGTCTGGAATCGTCACAATTCAGGCATTCTCGGAGTACAGTCCGACAAAGTAGTGGTGTTTCAGTTCCACGCAAATTGATCCATTCCTGTTCTCCTCCCAAGAATGGAGTAGAACAGTTGAACAGCGGAACAGAACGGAGCAGGACAGTTTGAAAATTTGGGGTGAGGATTTCAATTTGTGGATTTTACCAGCATTCATTGGTTACCAGTCTCCTATCAGCTTTCCTAATTTTTAAATTAATTTATTTTGAAGTTTCTCCAAACAGAAAAACCGATCCAATTGTGTCAACATTTCTTCAAACAGTAAAACCGAACTGTAGCAATTCTCCGGTCACGATTATAATTGATTAGATCATGCGCCCTTCTCCGATGAATTCATGACTTGTGCAAAACACTTTTGCAGTACTTTTGATTTCCAACTGCACGAATTGGTAGCAATGCAACTGTCGTCATTCAGTGACTTCACCACCCTAGAATATTTTAGTAGATAGAACTACACAGCAAATGCAAAGCAAAAATCATGCAGCATGAACTGATGGATATTTCAGGACCTCTTGATTGCGAATCTTAGTCCTAAATGGTCCGTCGTGCAACCCTTTATGTGGTGCGTGGTCATCCGGAACCTCATAGCGGAATGTGTTTTCGTTTGTTTTCATTCTAAGCCATACAGTAACGTGTACAAACATCAACATGCAACAAAATTAAAATGAAAAATCGTCGTATCGCGAGTAAGTATTAAAATGTATAGAGCAGGACTTGAGATGCCCGCTTCGTCTCCGATGCTATCTAAAAATATCATTCCTTCGGGGGTTAAATACCTTCAGATGTCCAGTTCTAAATTCTGTCATATGCCACCATTCATTTTTATCGTTAAACGTTGAGGTATTTGTTTGTTTTCGGTGTTCACTGATGAATACTCCTCCCAAAATTTGACACTAAACGCATTCGGCATCTCGCACTCATCCCGTCGGCAAACTCGCGGCTCAGCGATGTTTCCTTACAACATGAAGAAAATGGTCCTATCCCACTATTGGGATGGATTCAAAAATCTTTTGAGTGTGTGATACGTGGATCGGTGGAAAATACATGTTATCTGAGTACACACAAGCACCATGACGGCTTCGAAACTACAATGGATTTGAAGTGAAAAACTGCACTGAAAAATACGAAAGTTCGACGGCACTGTTGTCGATGTGTTCCCCCAACGCTAACAGCGAGCGAAAATTTTCCAAAGTCCAAGATCTCTCATATGAAGGCCACTGTCTGCGTTCATCTATTACATCGCATCAGCTCAATTTTTAAACAAAATTTCAATTTTTTAAAGATTTTTCTTCTTTTTTTAAGCAGTTTCCTTTCAAGTGTATCTTAAACTCACATTTCAAAACAAGCAACAAGACAATGTTGAAAGTGTTGCAGCGGTCTTTCATCATTTTCATTTGATTGTTCGCGATATTCGCGAAGGTTCGCGCTCCTCGTCCTCCCCGTCTGGGAGGATGAGGAGCTCGTTCTCCCCGTCTGGGAGAACGGGGAGCTCGTCCTCCCCATCGGAGAGTGAAACTGGACGGNGGGGGGGGGGCAAATTGCGCGAGGGACTGTTACCCGCGATCCTGCCGGGGTCTCCGACGGGGAGCCTGTTCCCCGACGAACGTTAATATGAAGTAATTGAATGACACATGTCTTTACACTAAAATTTTCGTGTAGAAGAACATTATCGATAAAGGAGATTTCAGTAGAAACAGTGGAGTGACTTTGAATAAAACATTCGCTCGCTGCACTATGAATGACTTGTTTCGGAATCATTGAGTAAAAGGTTTGAGAAGCAAACGGCTGAGCGTAATCACTGAGTGGTTAGTTGCAAATTTCATGACAAGAAGCATTTTGTGTATTAGTGAAAGTGCATAAGCAGTAGATTTTGTTTTGTATGAATCTTACCACATAAAACGGTAATAAAATGCAGAGAAGGTTTTGGAATAATTTATGAAAGTTGGTATTCTTCGCAGTTGAAACTACCTTACATAGTATCGACGTATTTCTTGATTGGAACAGTGGTTTCGAGAGTTGTACACTTTCGGATCGCATAAAATTTTCGAAGAAATTCATTCGCCAGGCAACATCGATTCAGTTAGAAATGGTATCCAGTCAGCAACAAAATCATCCGGGCGACGTTTGGTTAAATGAAGAGAGGTTTGGTATGAATTCAGAACAATGGGTGAGTTAGTCTGATTCGTTTTTTCATGAACTTATTTTCAATGGAAAACTTATGAAATTTTATATGAATTGCTCAGGAACCTATCCCTGCAACCCTTTCAAACGATGTCCTTCAGGCAGTAGTTGAACACTCGATGCGATCAGATCCAGTTACCGTGAACAAGGTAGCAGCTACAGTGCAATGCTCACGGTTGCCTATCGCCATTTCAGGCCCTATACGCTGTTTTCGTTATGTTGCCGCAATGCGTTCTAATCGCTGTGCTGTTCTTTCTTGGATTCCTGATACTCATGACACCATGGGGATGGAAAAACGTTTTTACTCGATTCATGGGACGACCTCTGCTGCATGGTTTGGTAATCAACTTGATCATTTATCATAGATTAGTTGAAATGTGCTACTTGTTTTTTAAAGCTTCTCCGAAATATCAGGGTGAATATTCAATTGAAATATTTCCAGCCACCAATCGAAGGAATCGGACTGATGGAGACATTGCGCGGAAGTGGTCAGCCGAGACTAATGTCACGTTTTCTGTCGCAGGACGAGCTCGAAAGCGTCTATAAGATGCCGTTGGCTCCTACGCGAGGGCTGGATCTTACGGACGAGGATCGAAAAATCCTGAACAATGCGAGTAGGGTGCGTTGTAGCTTATGATGCAGCTCAGTGCTAGAGTGATTATGACCGCAATACAACTATATACTACCTGACATATTGAATGCTCTGCAAAGAGGTGGATAAATCTATGAAAAACAGAGCATAATGTGATCGTAAGTAGAAGATATCATTCATCAATAGCCATTTGATGTTTTCTAAAGGGTCGAGGAAGTGGAGAATACAGTTTACAGGTGAGATGTACTCGAGCTGGACGTGAGGATACGTTCGATTATTCGGGCTATTTGAGAATGAAAGACTTTTGATTGTTGGCAAAAAATCATCGCTGGTAATGCAGACTCGTAATAAACTAATTGATTAGTCGAGAACGATTGGCCACGTATTCGTGCACGGATGCGTATATTGAGAATATTTCAGTTGCATAAATGCTGTAAATTTTGAATAAATTCTATTGATGAATGCTCTACGAAGCAGAAAAACTCATAAAATATGATGTGAAAATTCAAATTTGAAGCTTGGAAAAATCGCCGGTTTGGAACGAAATAATCTGAGTTTATGTGACAATAGGTGACAAATTGCTTCCATTCAGTAATGAACCAACGCAAATTATCGTGATCCATTTTTGCTGGCATTAATAAACTGTTTTATCTTTTATGTTCCTTAAATTGGTACTGAGTGAAATATTTGCCACAAGGATTCGAGAAATTTCGACAACGGATTTTGTTGATGAGAGTAGCTCCTTTCCGCAGAGATTAGGCTTTTCAATTTATTAATAGCTGAGCATTAAGTAATTCTTTAAATGCTCTTCGAAATTAGTAGATACACTGCGAGAGAAACGTTACATACGAGTTGCATGACAATTGTTGATGTGATCGGATAGCACCTGCCACTGGAAGAGATTCCGTTGAAGTCGTCTTAGTCAAGAGTGCAAACAAACACACCACCAAAATAGTTTTGTTGGATGTATTGGATTTATACAGAAGAAGAGAAATTGTGAAAGAGACCGTTCCTCTTTTACTGTGGACTCACCAAGGAGCACAGCAGGAGATACGTTCAAAAAAAAAGTTACATAATGGTGTATGTGAAATGGACGTTCGAGCTAATATTTCCGCTGACTGGCGCCTCATCGCTGTAAGCGAACCACTCATTGATTGTAATGCGCCAAACATGGTACTTGCAGGTCAATATTTCAATATCTTCGCGCTCCACACGCCAGCATATCTATGCGGTTTTATTGTTGCTCATTAAGATTCCATCTTTGTTTCCTTTCATTAGAGCAATAAATCAACTTCTCGATCTCCATCCCAATTGCTATGTTTCATCGGATGTCGAAATTTTCTTCGCATTAACTATTCATTCAGTTAAATGCTCATGCATACCTCGTAGTAAGAGGTGATACCGCTTTCGAAAATATGTACTGTCGGTCTGGACAGAGGGCCCGAGCACCCACAAACGTGTTCCGCCAATCCAAGAGGGTTCATCCACGAGCGTACGGTGCTATACCAATGAAAATCTTAGAGCAGGGCATGCCTTGAGATGCCCAGAATGTAGCTGCGTTATGATGAATTGAATGACCATTTTTCGTGGTCCACTCAATGAAGTTTCTAAAAATTCGGAAAAAAGTAATTATAAAATTGCAGTACAATGTATAACCAGTTTCGGGAGCATAGCGGGGTGTTGAAACCGTTTCTTTGTTCCCATGAAAATCGTACGACATCAACATCTCAAAATTCAGATATCTGTAGGAATGGAAATAACGTCCGCAGTAAGGTTTGCAGAATCCCGGTGTTTTTTCAATCCTGGGATCGATTTTCAATCTCGTGATTATGCCGGGATCGAACAACTTTTGAAACATCGATGCGTGACATTTTTAAACACAGTTTTCAAAGCAATATGATCATAATTAACCAGGAGAGATTTTATTCAGCAAAATATTCACGATCAGCAAATACAACGTATTCAATAAATTATTCAAATTCAAATCAGCACACACAACTATTAATCCTCGTATCACTCAACAAATAACTGAGCGAATTACTCCGTGGCGTGAAGCACATAATTCAGTGCAGTTAAATATATCCATTGCAGTTATTCAACGATCATTCAACAATGATTATTCGACATATAATTAATTCAGTGCTGTTTGAAATAAGGTCTGAGAAACGTGGAAGCGTTGATAGTTCCATCGCTTATTTGCATTTTAAATGTTGTGAAAAAGGGACAATGTTGAGAAAGCGCGCTCGCTTTCGACTCTCGTTGCTGGGATCATTTTGATAGACTCGGACAATTTTTTCATATTCGATGCCATTTCCTTTGTCTCTTCATACAAATGTGTTCCAGAGAAATTTTTTTCCAGATCAGGTGCGTAACATAGAGCATCTGATAGCACTGGAGAACTAGGCCTCTCAGGTCTGGCTACAGCTACAAGTGTGTCATTATTGAGGTTTTTTCATCCTTTCACACAAAAATAATTGATACTCTTTAGGGGTTTTAACATGCTTTGATATTTTTGAAGAGACGCATTAGAGCATTGAACCGTAACAAGATGCGTAAATCAGGTGACGATTGTAGCGCGAACTGTAAATCCATTCAGTATCACCACCCACATGCAAACCCTAATTGACTTTGAAACAGGCGAGTAGTGATAAATATCACGAAGAATAAATCGTAAGCATGATAGAACAGCAGACAGTACAATTCCCTTCATTTATGTACCGCTGTCAAGGTAGTTACAGGTGCGAGATAGAAAAGAGTGTTCTAATACATGTGTATGTATACTTATGAGATTTTATTCAAAATTGGTTTTGTGTATGTACGTGTGCGTATCTACACAATAGTATTAATCCGTTCTGCTGTTCAGCATATATATGTAAGTGAAAATAATATTCTGCAGTGAAAAATTATTTTCGACACTAATTATAATTCTAAATTTTTTTTCAATAACTTCCGAAATGTTTCCCAAAAATATTTCA